CCAACCATCCAACCAGCAAGAGCCCTACCTGCTCACATCTCTCTGCCTCCTTTAGCTCCTCTCTAGGAGGTTGGAAGCTTAGGGCGGGGCTACCTGGAGGGAGTTTTCCTACCGACACAAACAAAAGATGTCTAGCTTGGAGACAGTGGGGATGCAAGAGAGGACGGACTTGAAAATTAATTCCTCCCAGGTGGTATCAGAGGCTCAGAGGTTTGGTTTGGAGAAAAGGTAGAGAAAAGATGGGGGTTATGTGGATTCTGAAATGATCCATTACAACAGACTTGGCAGACCAGTGGACTAGGGGGAAAAAATGATTGTTCAAGAATCATTCTAGCCCAAAGAATTCAAAATTGGTGCATCTAGTGGGGGAAACCCAGGATTGGGACCCTTAGATTTTAGATCTCAAAAACCCTAGTCAGATCCTGGGCCCAGCCTTCATGTCTTGTGTTCCCTACGCCCCCATGAAGTTCCTCAGTTATTTCCCCTCTTTGGGTCCTTTGCACACCTTCTTCATGGAGGCACTGGGGACAGGGTGATGTTTGAGTCCTGTGTCCCAACTTCAAGGAAATGATGGGGGGCAGGTAGCTAGGTGCATGGGTGCATGGCTGATCAGGGGCAGCCCACGCTGCTTGGGGTGGACATGTAGAGGAAGAAGCACCGTAAGGAGATCTTAGAGCAAGAGAAAGAGGGTGGAGCCAAAGCAGCAGCATTTGTTATGGGCAGGGGCAAAGGGAACAGCAGATACAAAGAGGCCAGAGAAGTCAAGCAACTTGGCCCCAAATCACGCAGTTGGTTGGCACAGAGAACAAAGCTCTGTATCCTGTAAGACCTGTATGTGTGCTATGATTTTCATCACTTCACTCCACTCTGTGTTTTTCTTTTTGGGTCACACCTGGCAATGCACAGTACTCCTGGCTCTGTACTCAGGAATCACTGCTGGTGGTGCTTGGGGGACCATATGGGATGCTGGGAGTCGAACCCAGGTCGGCTGCTCACAAGGCAAATCCCTACCCGCTGTGCTATCGCTCCAGCCCAACTTCACTCCACTCTTAATCCCTGTCGACCTTCTTCATCCCACCCCAGCCCAGGTCTGCTCTACAGAGAAGCCAGGGAGCATGTGTGACTCCCCAAAGCCGGAGCCTACCTCCCTTCAGACCAGCCTCCACCTCTCCTGCCTCATTCTGCTGGCCTGAGGTGTGACCCCTCTATTGGAACTATGCCACCAACCATAAAAGACACACCCCTCTAGAACCAATCAGAAGCTGCACAGTTCTCCATATCCTCCCTATGCTGCCAGAAATAAACAAAATCTCCTGCCCAAGCCAAAGCCCCAGCTTCTGGGTATTAACTGGATTCGCCTTAAATGGAATAGAATCTCTTTGGGGCCATGCTTTTCCAGCAGGAACCATGCTTTTCCTTCCTCTTTGGTGCCTCAATCCTTGGCTGCTTTGCGCTTGTAGTTCAATTTTTTAAGTGCCAGCATATACAGGGGTTAAAGTGCTTGCCTTGCTCTTGGCAGATCCCAGTTGCATCCCCGGCAAAACATATGGTCTCCTGAGCACTGCCAAGAATAAGCCTCTGAGAACAGAGCTAGGAGTAAGCCCCGAGTACAGCCAGATCTGACCCCAAAACCAATAAATAAACAAAATAAAATTTCACTGGATGAGCTCTTACTAATCCTGAGATTCTCTGCTAGATGCTGGAGGCAGGATACAAAGATGATTAAGAGCAGTCTTTGTTCTGGAGCACCCCATATATCGGGAGGACAGAATTGACCCCCTGGTTACACTGCCATGTTCCAGGGAGACTGTCTTCCAGACCTGGTGTGAGCATTACGAACACCCCAGAACTCACTAGTCATAACAGAACATTCTGTTTCTAATAGCTCTGATTGTTACTGAACTAAACTCTTCTGTTCCTATCACATTAATCATTAATAACATGATTTTTGCTTGGAACGGTAGGAAAGAGAAAGCTACTGGGCCAGAGAAAGGGTTAGTGGGTAGGGTGCTAGCCTTGACCAATCCAGGTTCCATCCCTGGCACCACATTAGGTGTCCTGAGCCCCACCAGGAGTGATTCCTGAGTGCAGAGCCAGGGATCTCAGTTAAGTTCTGAACCCCACCAGGTGTGGCCCAAACATTTTCCCCCCACTTCTGGCCCCCAAAGAGCCAACTATGTGCCAGCTTTTCCATATTCACAAGTTATTTTCAGGGCCAAAAAGAAACTCGACTACCTGAGCATGTGTTTTGCATGCAAGTGGCCTAGGTGTGACCCCCAGCACCACAGGTCCCATGAGTACCTCAATGGTTGTTCCTGAGCACTGAGTCAGGAGCAGCACCTGAGAATCACTAGCTGTGCACCCCCAAAATAAAAATTTAGTTTTAAAAAGCTATTTTTGTGTCTACAGTTTTCCTTATGATCCCAGCAATCCGTTCCTATTCTCTTCTCAGAGGAGTCCCGAGAGACTCGGCGTTCTGATTTGTTATTAAATGCGATCCCCCATAGCCAGTAATCGGTGTGCTCTTCCCTTCTTCACCCTCCTGCGAAAGCAGCCCTTGCTTGGCAGCTACTTCACTGACTTTCTCATCTTGAGCCCACAGTCAACAGAAGTCTCAAGGCCCCACTCTTAGGACCACACCTGCCCATCTTAGTCTAGAACTTTAATTTTTTCTGCATATCGTTTGATCTTCCCCATAACCCATATCCTGATCAGGGCATTGGCTGATCAGGTCCTGATCAGTCCTGTTCAGGGTATTGGCTGCCACCTTTCCAGTCAGGTAAGTAGCCCTTGCCCACAGTGGTTGGACTGCGCAGGACCATGGACAGCTCTCCACTTGCTTTCTGGGGAAATTGACGTTGCTAGAAAATTCCTTTTTATTTTATTGTGTTTTGTTTGGGGGCCACGCTCAGCAGTGCTCAAGGCATTGCTTGCTCATGCTCCTGGCTCTTCACTCAGGAATCGCTTCTGGTGGTCTCAGGGGACCATATGGGATGCCACGGATTGAACCCAGGTTGCTTGCATACAAGAAAAGCACCCCTATCCACTGTACTATCCCTCTGGCCCCAGAAAATTATTTAAAATATTTTTTCTAAGGGTCACATTAAGTGGTGATGAGTGGAAGGCAGGAGGCAGGCCAGAGCCACTCCACATGGTCATTACTACCGTACTTGGGGTCTCCAGGCCACACCTGTTGGTGTTTGGGGAGTCAGGTGATACTGGGGATAAAACTCAATCCATTTGATTGTACTGTTACCAAATTCACAAGGTAATTCCTATCTTGTCCACACAACAGCATGGAGGATTTTGTCCAACACTTAACTGAAAGCCAGATGCCCCATCTATAGCTACTCCCTAATCCAGAATAATAACTCAGAATTAGTGTCAAAACTGAGAAATAACTAACTGGGTTTGACTCAGCCTAAGTAACCTTTCTCTTGGCTTCCTTTCCCAAGACTTCTCTTGGGTATTGCTTCTTTAGCCACAGAGCTGATCCTAGTAGGAAGCATATTACTGTTATGGGGGAAGGTGGATAAGATGGCGGGAAACTCTGAACAACGGTGGAGGGAAGCTGACACTCTAGTACAGGCTGTGGTGTTGGCGTGTTTTATTCATGAGACCCTGCCATAATTAATACTGTAAATCATGGTGCTTAAAATAACATGTAAAAATGGTCCTTTAGAATCAACCCATTTAGAATTAGAAGGGAAATTCTAGGAATTGGAGGGCTAGAACTGGGGTTAAGGTGCTTGCCTGGCATACCCCGGATTTAGTTCAATCCCCAGCATGGCATACGGTTCACACTCAAAGTCAGAAGCAACCCCTGAACACCCACTGTGTCCCTGACAACGCACACACAAAAAAGAAATTCCAGCTCTAAATATGAGTTTTAAAATGACTCAAAGTCTAATTTCCAAATTTTGCTGATAAGGAAACCAATGCCTACAGTGATTGTCTTGTCTTCCCAAACTAACGGGGTTCCTTCGAGTAAGAACCAGAATTGTATATCCCTTATTTATTTCTCCAAGTTCAATGCTCTTTCTTTGGGGTGGTGTGAGAGGGCTCTGCCAAGCAGCACACAGGGCGCTGGGGTGCCATTCCTAGCAAAGCTTGACTTGTTGGTGAAACATTAATGCTTGCGCAGCCCAGCCATGCAGGGCTGCTCTAGCTTGGCGGTGCTGAGGGCCACTAGGGGACCACACATGGTACTGCTCAGGGGCCACTAAGATACACTCGGAATTTCTGGGAGGGACATGTGACATAAGGGATCAAATCTGGGGCTAGCGCATGTAAGGCATGTGTTCCAACTCTCTGAGCTACTTTCTCGACCTTCCGTGCTCTTAATACTGAATCGTGATGTACATCCACTCATGTGCACACAGTTCCAGATCTTTCTTCAAGCCTCTTAACTGTCTGAGACAAACGATGGTAATCATGCCTACTTTTGTAGTGTTACTGGGGATTGCACAACAAGTTCCTCCTCCTCCTTCATGGACCTGACCTCTCTCTGTGGGATTTGCTTCCAACAGGGGAGCTTTGGACTCCCCCAGTCTGGGTGGGATGGGCACCCTCAACCCACCCTGCATGGCACCACTGTCTTCACACCTTTGAGTCTGTATGTGCCTGGGCCTGGGGGTACCCCATGGACTGGCCACATGCTGTGTTGTCTCTTCCAGCAATGAGCTGATGCAGAGACACCCCAGAGAACAACAGACCGCATGCCTGCAGGCTTATGGGGCAGGCAGGCAGGGGCCTACCTGTGAAGCGAGGCAGGAGCCCTGGAGCTCACTATTTCAGCCTGGTACTGCCAAGGCGCTGCTCTGCTGGGAACCAACTAGTTGCCCAAGGAACTAGGGCGACAGGAAAGGTGGTGTCCTAGCACTTTACCTAGCCGGAAAAGAAGGTGTGCCTGCAGCACAGGGGAGCCCAGCCGGGAGATGCTGGCACCTCGACAGACCCGGCAGCCACCCTTCCCGCCCCCCTCGGGAGGCCCTGGGTACCTGTTTATTCTTTAGGTCAAGGGAGAGCTCGTAATCGGAGGCGGCGGGGGCGTGGTAGCAGAGCGCTGTCGCCAGGCCAGGCTGCAGCTGGCCCGGGGAGGCCGCGCGGTGGGGGCCGGCCCGCGGGGACGCACCCCCCGCCCCCGGCCGCTCCTCCTCCTCCTGCAGCTCCTGGGCTTGAGCCTTCGGGGCATGGGCACTGGGTCTGCCGGCCGCCACCGCCGCCGCTGCCACCACGGAGTCCTCCGTGCCCCCACTGGCCTGGGCGCAGGAGCCATCACTGTGAACAGAAGGGCAACGGTCTCGGTTGGGGGAGCGCGGAGGGGTTGCATGGAGGTGTGGGGGCAGGGGACACGGGGACACCGGCCTGGCCTTTCAGCATGGGCTTTTCTGGGGGAGGGACGCTGGACTGGTGTGTTGGGGGGGGAGTGGGGGGTTCCTGCTGGTCTCTGGAGGGAGAAGTTACCTGGGCAGGGGAAGGAACCTGAACTCGGGGGACTGTGTCCCCAGCGGAGAGAAGCAGCAGCTCTGGGCAGTGCGCACGAGCCTCTGCTTGGAGGCACCCTAGGAGGGTGGACAAGCAGAGGGTCCTTGAGCAATGACGCGGCCTCCAGAGAACCCTAGTTCCCCGTCTCTGATGTGGGCATAATAATGGTACCTACCTCCCTCGAAAGTGAGAAGGATCAAGTTATTGAAAGCTGTAAAACCGCTCCTAGTGGGGGGCCCTGGCCCAGAACGGTCGGTTCGACAGCTCCCAGACCCTGAAGGGGAAGCAGGTCCAAACCAAGACTGCCCCATCTGCACATCGCTCAGATGAGGCTCAGGGAAGGGGTGCTGACTTGAGCATAAAGGCCCCCACCCCGGGCCAGTGTGCTCCCTCTTTGCTTTGTTTTGTTTGGACTGACCTGTAGCGTGGAGGACTCTGGCTCTGCTAGTTGGAAGGAGGCATCACTTCCCCCAGTCTTCTCCCTACCTTCCCCTGGAGCCCCCGGAAGGCTGAGACCTTGCTGCTGATCATCTGACTGCTCTAAGGAGCAGCTGCTGGGCGAAGTAGCCAGCCCCTCGCCTGTCCGTGAGAGTTACTGCACTCCCACCCTAATATTGCCTTCCCTTAAGCCTGGGGCTTAGCCTCTTCCTCCATGAAGCCTCCCCTGGGGATCCAGCTTTCTCTGTTCTATTTCCTAGAACAACATCTTTTTCACAGAAGAGGCAAAGCTTTACAGTTCACAGCCTGGGTCCAAGTCCAAGCTCTGCCACACTGTGGGCTGTCATTGCTTTATTTCTGAGCCCCGGTTTCCTGTCCACGTGATGGAAGAATGTGTACCTACCTTATGGGGTGAGGGGTGAAGGAAAGGGAACCAACTTGGCTCGTGAACACTGCCCAGGGAACCAATCTCTGGGAGGTGCACAGTGTACAGAGCCAGGCAGGGTCCATGCTCAAGAAATGTCAAATGGCGCGTCACCATCTGCCCCCTTCTGGAGGCCACTAAGTCCTGAGCAGATGAGGAGAGCTCAGTAAACACTTGTTGCTGGCTTGGGATTGGATTGAAGAGCGAACGCTGGCCATGAGGCTGACCTTTCCAGTGGACAGTGAAAGAAGGATGGGTGGGAAGGGAAGCTGAGGCCTGCTAGTCCAGCCTTTCAGTCCTCCTTTAGACAGTCCAGGAGGTGGAGTGTCCTTGGTTAAGGATGAGGAAACCTCCGAACATCTTTCTTCCAAGGTTTTGCTCCCCCCCCCCCCTCGCCCCCATAAAAAGTGTCTCAAATCCAGAGAGTAAAACCTCTTTCTGTTGCCTTCACCTAGCTTTGGGGGGTGGGAAAATGTTCCTCCTGGAGTTAGTCCATAGCTGCCACCTCCCCCAGGCCTACCCCCCTCAGGGAGAGCTCACTGGCCAGCCCGAGCAGGCAGGCCTCAGGCTTCCTAAGAGCCCCTCCCTGCTCACGCATATTTCTGCATATTTCTTCGCTCCATCATTTCTTTGATGGGTGTTAAGGCAGGCTGCATGGTTAAATGGGTGCCCTGTGACATGAGTTTTCACCAGGATCATCAGGAAGTTATTTTTAAGATCTTTCTTTGTCTCCTCCTATGACAGGACATGCTCGTTCTTCCTGCAGGGCACAAGGAAACATCCTCTCTCCCAGCCTGCCTCCAGGGCCTGAAGCAACCTGGGCTTGTCTTGGAACTGTCCTTGGTTCTGATCCCCATGAAGGTTTTTAAGACTTCAGAGAACCGGTGACTAGTCAGGACCACAGATACCTTTATAAAAAATAAAATAGCCCCACTCTTTTTTTCAGATTGCTATGATATGCTTTTAAGAGGTACTGATAGTTCCACTTAACTAAGATAATGGGGGAGGGGGGCTAGAAAACCCAACATTCTCATTTCATACACAGAACAAGTCAGGTGCAAAAGTACCCACTAGAATTGAACCCCAGTTCCCAAAGCAATGGTCTGACCAAGTGTGAACTGTTTGGGCTTATTCTGAGTCTCAACTTTCTTCCCGAATCGACATTTCTCGGAGTCCTTTGTCCCAAATAAACTGCTTCCATTAACATCAAGTATTTTCAAAATGGTTTGTGAGTCACCTCCTGGATACAGATAGACAAAAGCCCGAAAGCCTTCTCAACTGACTTCATTTCTAGGGGCTGGGAAGCCCATCACTGCAGTCTCCAGGATGAGCAATTTTGCATGAGCGTGAATACACACAAGCTCTGCACACACAATGCTCTCACGAGCTCTGTGGCTTTGGGCAGTTTGTGTCCTCTTCCTCACCTCTCGCCCGAGGGAAGTTTCCAACTTGGATCCTAGTGTTGAGGCCATAGGGTACTCCAGCCTGAAGGTTTCAGACTCTCTCACACATAGAACCAGCTCTTCCTTTGCTCATCAAGGTGTAAAAGGACCTGAAAGTCAGTCATGCTCGCAGGTAGAGATTGAAAGAGTCAGAAAGAAGACCTGAACTTGTGTGGTAGGAGGTCTGAAAATCCAGGTTCACCATCATCAACAAAAGTAAAAAATATGGGTTTTGGGAGGCCGGAATGATAATAATGAGACAAGGTACTTCCTTGCATGTGGCTGACCCAGGTTCAATCCCCTACATCCAGTATGGTTCCCTGAGCACTGCCAGGAGTGATGCCTTAGCGCAGAGCCAGGAATAACCCCTGAGCATCATGAGGTATGGCCCCAAAACAAAACCGAAGAAATGTGACCTTTGGTGCATGTCAGGAAGACCTGGACTTGAATCTACAATTCTACTTCCTTTGGCTTCATTTCTTCATCTGCAAAGTGGGCATCACACTAAGTCCTCTGTAGCATTGTTGTGATGAGTAAAGAGAACTCACAAAGCACTTATTACAGTGTCTGGCACACAGTAAGTATCGATAAATAGTGAGAGGGTGCTGGTTGTATTCTGCCCTGCAACTTCACAGCATGGAAGTCCAGAAGAGTTCCTCATTTAGGAATGAGAAATTCCTATGTGGATGGGGCAGTAATAGCACTTATTTCTATATTCGAGATTCTTCCTGGCTCTCGAGACTAAACTCCAGAGTCTTTGGAGAGAGGAGTAAAGGTAAGCTTGCTCGCTCCTGTCCTTATTTTTCCACTTACTGGAGTAATAACGGTAAAAGGCCTTGATTACAGGGGTCATTAAATCATGGAGGCCGTTGCCTCTGAGGAATCTGCAGATTCCCCAACTATCAGCAGACCTCCTGGCTGTGCACCTAGCCATACCCACCATAATATTGGGCATTTGCTACATGGAAATTTGGCCAATGCATGTGTATGCATTTGTGCTTTGGGTACTTTTTCTGGGATCAGCGTAGTCCTGGTTTCAGAGCCTCTATCTGGCATAGAGTATCAATAGTATGGACCTTGACTTTTCCTTCTCTGCACCACATCTATACAGATGGTCCTAGGGAAGAGTTTCAATCCTCCGTCCTAGGCTATCATAGTTAGGAAGCCCATCTTCTTCCATGAGACAAGTCATTCCATTCACAGTCTCTTAGGGAAGTGGAAACTCGGTGTTTCAGCATCCACTATATCACTATTTCCCAGACACAGGCTGCATCCTTTTTCCTAGGGTCTGCTGAGCTAATTCATATCATCAAGCCACCAAGCCTGTTAGGCTGTGTGTCAGAAAGACAGCCAGATGCTTGGACAAGAATCATGTGGGAGGAATAGATTTGCCTTCAGGAAATCAAGAAGGATTCTTGAGGGAAATCCTGGTGAACTCAGGCTGGCTCATAAGGCATCTTCCTATCCCTCAGGCCCCATATTCAGTTGCAAAAACAGATTTCATGAAATATTCAACTGACCAGCAATGACCATCATTGTGGACATAGGTGCCAGACATAAGCATGGGGCACTTATGTGAGGAGGTGAAGAGTAGAACTTGGGAGAAAATGAGAGACATTGTACAACTCTGAAAGTCTGATGATACGGATACTGGTGCTTGGAAAAAAAAAATCCATGCAGGATAGGTCATGCACAGGAACCAGAGGGTTTGAGTATAGGAAATAAAAGCCTTAGAAACTGTGAAAGTAAGCAGTATCTTAGAGGATTGCTGTGTGTGCTCAGGATCCATGTTAAAATATCACATTAAAAGGGAGCCACTAATGGGGGCTTCCAGGGATGCTGGTGCTGACTTGGCCAGTCCCCAGCATTGACGAATCCTCTGGAGTTCCAGTGACCATTACAGTCTGTCTCTCAACTCTCCCATCAGAGTTCACGCCTGAAAAAGGAGCTTAAATACTAAGCTACCACGTGGTTATCCTGGGTTCCACACCCCTGCACTGCATATGGTTCCTCCAAGCACTAGAGCTCACTCCTGAGCACAGAACTAGGAGCAGCCCCTGAGCACAGTTGGGTGCAGTTCCCCCAAACTCAAAAACAAATTAGTAAATGAGCAAACAAGTAACTGCCATTCTACTATTCAGAACGCATCAATGATTTTTCTAATGCTGCTTCTATAAAGCCCACCAGGACAGACTCAAGAACAATCATGATCTCATCTCAGCCTCCATTCCCAGTCTCCTACCCACCACTCTGTCTACTCTAAGCATCTCTCCAAATCTGCCCAGCCATCTCAGACCATAGTACCTTCCACATGATTTCCTTCTGCCTGAAATTCTTGTCATCCTCATGTCCTTCCCCTCCCACCCACACCTGTCTCTGCCACCCACTCCTGTCAACCTTTAGGACTCACTTGTTGCCCCAGGAGCAGTAAACCTCACCTTCAAATGTGCCCTAATAATCCTGCTCCAGTAAGCTTACTCTTGCCTCTG